TGCTTAGCCATTATTATCCTAATATTGCTTATATCAGTTTTATATCTTTGATATCCTTGAAAGATTATATTACAACATTTTGACTTGCTTTGATGATTCGACTATTGGTAATGATAATATTCCATTCTTTGTTGATGGTTGATAGTCTATATTCATAGATTATGCCCTGTGTGAAGTAAGCTTCACCGGTGGGTGGTAATAGTAATGTGTCCCGGTAGGGACAATGCCCTGTGTGAGGACGCTCACCGATGAGTGTATAAAGGTATGCGTGGTTTATTAATTATCCCATGATTGGGGAGTTTGGAATCCTAAATATTAGACCTTAATTATTCATCTTTACATGTTATTTTATTTTGGCCAATGATAGTGATGTAAGAATGGTAACTTAATGTTGAGATCCCTTTGTTCAAGTTTGATATCTATGTCTATCATTTTCATTCGTTCTCTTGTGTTGTACCCGAGATTTTTATGGTTACCTATTGGGCCTTAGGCTAACCCCTATTATTTCTGAATCCACTCGCAGGTCATACTACTGGCAATGATAAGGGGATTGCAGACCCTGAAGTTAAAGGTTAGCTCCGGAGGAAACTCTTAGTAGGAGTTAATTTATGTTCACTTTTGTAGTATTTTTGACTTATAAAACATGTACTAATGTTGTAGCCACTGCTATTATTATAATATTTTGTAGTTCCCTTTAGTGTTCTTCTATTTTGGTATTCTATGGACTCTGCTATCAACCTCGTGATCCTGAGTATTGCATATACATCTCCACTGCCTTATTTTTCACCCTTCAGTATATCTATTTATGATGTGCATAAAGATTTAGAAGGTCGACCATTCTTATTACAAATAAGTCATGCCCAAATTTTTATGTACCTCCCCGAGGGGCGTTACAAAGTAGTATCAGAGCACAGGTTGACACCTTAAGAGTCATACATAAAATACCAATGAGACTTAGGGATGATTCGAGTCAGTGTCAAACACCAGTCATGGAAAGATTATATTTCCATGAAATTCTTGTAATATCTAGATTTCTATTAGATTGGTTTTGTACCATTGGAGGCTGATAGATGACTTTTGCAGGAATGACAGATTCTGATTCGAGTGCTTCTGAGATGGAAGGATCCATTAGCAGTGGAGAGGAGTGGTCAACACGTTCAGAGGATTAGGAGATCAGCTCTGAGGAGACTGACCCAGAGGAGATGTTTGGGGAGAGAGTGGATTACTCGCCGATTGGCCATCACATCCATGGGCAATTGGTGAAGAGGGATGAGGAAGAGGAGGACTATGAGGAGGAGGACCCTAAGGAGGCAGACCCTGAAGAGGAGGACCCCGAAGAGGAGGACCCTGAGGAGGAGGACCCCGAAGAGGAGGACCCTATAGAGGAGGATCCCGAGGAGGAGGAGTCGGAGAAGAACCCTATGGAGGATGAGGATCCAGAGGAGGAGCCCATGGAGTGGAAATTTGAGGTTGTGCATGAGCCTCTACTTGGTGGGATACTAGATGGAATTCCACTTGGATGAGAGCTCAACTTGGATGAGGAGGATTGGGCATGGGAGGATGAGGCGATGGTGGAGGATCCTATTGAGGATGATGAGCAGGAGGAGATCAGCCTAGATGATGATGAACCCAAGCCAATTGAGGACTCCGATACGGAGTCTACTTCTAGCAGCTCTTCCACCTCTTCCTAGAGGTTGACCCATTGGGTCACTAACCTTAGGAATCTTATTACTTTTGGCTTTTGGATGGACACCCAAGTATGGTGTATTTTGGGATTGCATACTTTCATCTATATCTTAGATATGGATTATTATACTTTTGTAGAACTCTTGAATTGATGAATATGTGTATGTTAATATTATATCAATGAAAAAGCTTTTGGAGAGATCAGTATACTCTAGGTTGATTGTTGACGTTCCTTATGTATATATATTATGTGAGTAATAGAGATATTTCACTGTGGAATCTAAGCCTTTCCTATATTTTCATGTAGATAATGGTGAGAACAAGAGCAAATAGACCCCAGATGGGGAAGGACAACTCATGGAGAATTTTGAAGAAGGATCTTTTGTTCCTATCAGAATAACAAGGAATGCCAGCAAATAGTCTGTTGCTCAAGCAGAACCAATGCAAGATCCATTGGAATGATTGGTGGAGATCCTCAAGCAGCGTATCAACCCTAGAGGCAACCAACCAACACCCGCTATCTCAGCCCTAGAACAGTTTTGGAAGCTCACACCTCCATCTTTTTCGGGTACCACTGACCCTTTGGTGGCGGAGGATTGGATTTTACAAATGGAGAATATATTTACAGTCTTAAATTGCACAGAGGAGCAAAAGGTGTCATTTGCCGCCTTCATGTTCAGAGGGGAAGCTAAACATTGGTGGAGGGCAACATTAAGATTAGAAAGGGCTGCATAAAAATAGATTGATTGGGATAGATTTGTGGAGCGTATGAATAAGAAATATATTCCGAAGGGTGTTAGGGATTAGTGGGCTATCGAATTTCAAGAGTTGCAATAAAACAACATGATGGTATAGGAGTATGAGGCTAAGTTTACTCAACTATCAAGGTTGCTCCACATCTGATTGCTGAAGAATCAGATAAGGCCAAGAAGTTTCAATGAGGACTCAGGGGAAATATCAGAGGAAAACTAGTGGCTCTCAGGATCAGGAACTACGCAGAACTGGTCGAGACTGCGTTTGAAATTGAGAAAGATCAACTAGAGTATTAGGAGATTCGTAATAAGAAGCAGAATTCAGCTAAACACCCACGGACCGAAGGAGGTCTCATAACTAACAAGTCAGCATCGAATCAGCCCAGGAGGTCATCAACAACAAAGTTTCCCTTTCGTCGTGATCGAATGAACCAGCCAAACAAGTCAGTAGTCTAGCCCAGATGTGGAAATCATCACTCCGGATAATGCAAACTTCACCATGGATGTTACGAGTGTGGTCAACCTGGGCATTTCAAGAGAGATTGTCCAACCTTGAGGAATCAACTGATAACAGAATGAGCACCAGGAGGAAATCACACAGTTCGAGCTAATGCCTCATAACAATTAAGTGCTCCCTAGCAGAAGGCTCAGTCTAACCAGAGTGTGCAGCAAAACCAGAGGAACCAAGGAAGAGTTTTCGCTCTGACAAGGAAGGATGCACAAGCATCGTCATCTGTGGTGGAAGGTACTCTTCCCATATGCTCATTCACCGCTCGTGCACTTTTCGACCCTGGATCTACACACTCTTTTGTATCCCCTCACTTTGCTAGGAACTTTCCTAATTCACCGACACTATTAAGTAGTGAGATAATTGTCTCCACACCTATGGGTGGTAGTCTCCTAGCATCATATGTTTTTATGAGAATTATGGAGTTTTAGTGAGTGATCATGTTATGAATGCAGACCTTATATGCCTAGACATGTCAGATTTTGATGTTATCTTAGGAATGGATTGGTTAGCATCTCATCATGCTACTGTAGACTGTTTGAGAAAATTGGTAAAATTTAAATCACAAGCGGAGGCGAGTTTTATTTTTCAAGGGGAAAGTAGAAGACCCCTCACACACCTAATCTCATTTATGAAGGCTAACAAATTGTTGAGGCAATGTTACAGTGGATATTTAGCTTGTGTGATAAGTGGCCAATTGAATGAGAAAAAGCTTTCAGATATACTTGTTGTAAGAGATTACCCGGATGTCTTTTCTGAAGATTTGTCAGGTTTACCTCCAGATCGGGAGATAGAGTTTGCCATAGACTTGGTCCCAGTGACCACTCCTATATCTAAAACCCCTTATAGATTGGCGCCAGTTGAGATGAAGGAACTGAAGGAACAACTTCAAGGGTTATTGGATAAAGGGTTCATTAGACCCAACGTGTCTCCATGGGGAGCAGCGGTCTTATTTGTGAAAAAGAAAGATGGGAGTATGAGACTCTGTATAGATTACAGAGAGTTGAATAAATTGACCATTAAGAATAAGTATCCACTCCCAAGGATAGATGATCTATTTGATCAGCTTCAAGGAGCTCAATATTTTTCCAAGATTGATTTAAGGTCAGGATACCATCAGTTAAAGATTAAGCCTGAGGACGTAGCAAAGACAACATTCAGGAGTCGCTACGGTCACTATGAATTTTTAATGAATGCCTTTTGGACTAACTAATGCGCCGGCCGCATTCATGGATTTGATGAACCGGATATTCAAACAATATTTAGATCAATTTATGGTGGTTTTCATTGATGACATCTTGATCTATTCTAAGAGTTACTAAGAGCATGGAGAACATTTGAGGATTGTATTGCAAACCCTAAGGGAACAACAACTGCACACAAAGTTTAAGAAGTGTGAATTCTGGCTAGAAAATGTGATGTTTTTGGGCCATGTGATCACTAGAGATGGGATATCGAGGGATCTAGCGAATGTTGAAGCTGTCGTGAACTGGCCGCGTCCCACCTCAATGACTTAGATTCGTAGCTTTTTGGGACTAACAGGATATTATAGAAGATTTGTCAAGGAATTTTCCCAATTAGCAGCCCCTTTAACTATCCAATACACAATAAACATAAAGTGATGAAACACAAAAATAAAAGAGAAATTTAGATGTGTATTTATTTAGTTAGATAATTTTTGTTCATTACATTTTGTTTTAACTTTCTTTAAAAACCTATCAACCTTCATAAATCTATGAGATTATGAAGAAAAATGCTAAAAGGAAAAATTTTCAATCATCCGGGGGGTAGATATCAGTAGGACAAATGAGGAGGAAGTAGAAAATTCTCTTTTTCCTTTTCAATTTCCAGAAGGAAGGAGGAGAGAAATGAGGATTTTGTGGGGAAAAGAAACTTGAGGGCACTTTAGTAATTAACTGGTAGGGTAAAACCCTAACCCAGGCTCAGTCAAGCAACCACACGTTAAATCAAATTGAAGGACCTAATTGTAAGAAATTGGATGATTTGAGGGATCGTTTAGGAATTTCCATGATATAGAGGACTAATTTGGAAATATGAAAGATACTGAGGGACCAAATATTGGAAAAACAAAAAAGAAAAGGAACGATGGTACGGTTAAGGTCAGTGAGTATCATCCAACGATCCCGCGCACGGCGACCGCATTCCTTTCACAGACGAAGCTCCATCACTTCATCCCCTTCCTCTCGATCTTCCCCCATCTTCCCTCCCAATGTTTTCCCCAAATCCCTGAAACCCTAGAATCAAATCAAACCAGAAGGCGAGATCTTTCCCCTCCCTCGTCTATGGACGAGGACCAGAGGCCGGCCCCGCCGCCGCCGGGCCTAGGGTTTCCTCCGCGCCGCCGCCGCCGAGCCCGCGCCCCGTCGGCGCGTCCTACAGCCTACCGCCTCAGCCTCTTCGGCGAAGATTCGAAGGAAGGCGCTGTCCGTCGGCGAAGCGGCAGTGTGTTGGCGGTCGAGCGTGAAGCCTCGAGGAAAGACGATCGTTGTTCATGGAAAAGAAGCTAGGCTCAAAGAGGCCGGAAGAAGGGAGCGGCGAGACCTAATGATTCGCCCCTGGCGGTTCGCGGCGGGCGGCTTCTGCTGCGAGTAGTGATTTTGGTTTAGTTTGATTCTGAATTGGTTTTTGTTTCAATTGTTTGCGGTTAGGGTTTTTGTTCTAGGGTTTCGTTCTGTGTTTTGTTGCTAATTAGCGAAATTTTGGAAATTTTCGGTTGTTTGGTGTGACATCTGAGCTTAAAGTCAGAATGTTGTTCAGATATGGGCTATGTATATGTACATTGGCATTGCCTGACCTTAATGTTGGCAATGCTAACCCGTTAATTGAGTATTGTTTGGACTAGTATATGATGATGTTTTCATGCAAGATGTGGCTGGATAGCTAAAATGGGGAATTTGGGATAGACTATTGTGCTACAGTGGAGTTGATGATCAAGTTAGTAAGCACGCTTGTAGGATTTTTGTTTCCCCACAGTGGTTGTGGTACTTGATTGTGCTTCCATACACTTAGCCAGTTAATGGAAGAACTTTGTCTGCGGGATAAATGCACGTTAGACATGCTCTTGGTGGTAGGTTGCAATAATTTAACCATTGCATAACCCTAGTGACAGCGAAGACCTAAAAGTTGAACTCTCTATGCAGTTTCCTTGATGAGAGTTCGTGCATGATTACCACACTATACTCATTTAGGTATATAGTGGAAAGTGAATATTTATGTAAGGAGATGGAAAACCCATTCTGTACTGACAGTTGACAGTAACATACTGAGCGAATACTTCCATATAGAATCTCAATCCATATAATTTCAGGCTAATAGAGTTTTTTGTACATAATAATTCCTATGAACTCAAGAGTAAATCCTATATAGCAATTTTGAGGGTGAAATCATGCAAAAATTGAATAATTGGGCATGTTTAGGCGGAAATATAAAATGCGTTACGTCGTGAGACATTCTTTGGCATACAGCATATGGTCATCTCCATGCTTCAAAGTAATGGGAATATAACACAATGGCATACCAGCCACAATGAATGTAGTTTTATTGTAAGATATGAAAAGTATAGTTGTCTAGCGTACCTTGTTTCTTCATATCCTGCTTGGATCTAGTTGGCTGCTCTTTAGGATTAGGATTCTGTACTTTTCACCCCTATAGTAGGTCCCCCCCTTGGTGTTTGACGTAATATAAATATTTAAAATAAGCATGACAGCCCGTATGGGATAACATAAGTGAAGTACTGTTCAATAATATTGTGCAATAGTATCTATCGATCATTGAGGATGAACAACTGTTGCAATCTTTAGCTTTATAGTTATTTGTTCAGCAATGAGTCGTAACCCATAATAACATGATAGCTTTTCAGTACAAATGAAGTTAAAGTTGATTTAATTTGCAAAATTAATCTTTGTGGTCAACAAATCTTGCAGTCCTTACCATACTTGTGTTTCTAACCCGTAGCATGCTCATGACAAGAAAGAGGTTGCAAGTGCTTTGGCAAAATGGTTGCTATTTTTCATAGTTTTTTATATTCATCAGCTTGTCCTCCAACATGAAGAAGAAACACAGATTTGCAATGCTTCCTTTACCCCAGACCCAAACAATATACATTCTTCGATTTTAGATTAATGGATAGGTTACTAGAGGGACCAAATAACCCGTGACTTAATGGTCTTACCGTAACACTATAGATCAATAGGCATGCTTAAACCCCTTAGTGGATTTTTACTTGAATTCTTGGAGGGCCAACAACTATTAAATCTATATTGAATCTTGTAGTCAACATAATATATATGAGGAGATTAGTTGGGGAAGCATGTGAACCTTTTTTTGTCTCTTGGCTATTTTCATCTTAATCCTCATCCTTGGGAAAATTAAGATTTCTTTCTGAAGGATACCAGTGTGTGAATTATTTCGTTTTCATGGAAATCAAACCTCTGTAGGATATATATATATATATATATATATAAGCCAAACAACTAAATAGATACAAACGAGTTCATGATGTGTTTATATATATAAGCCAAACAACTAAATAGATACAAACGAGTTCATGATGTGTTTATGATACATAGAGTTCTATTGATTCCTGCTACTATACTTAAGTTTTAATCTCCGAGCAGGGAGTAAAAAGATGGCTGTGCTTGAGGATTTAGGCAAGATAGCATTTTCATGTTAAGAAGATCCTCCTCGTCAATTCTACATTATTGGCTTACATAACTGCTTACTAATATTGGCGAGCTGTACAGGGTGAACTCACACATACAATTATGAGTAACTATGTTTGTTTGCTTGAAACTGTGCTCTACACATGCTTGCCTATCATGGGTGTTTGTTATTGTATATTGACATGTGTATGATTTGTTGTTGAAATGTCATGATTTTACCTGTGTCAATATCTTTTTTTCATGCAATAACATTGGCAGAAACAAATAAATCTTTATTCCAGGTTTTGGTAGGGTTATTTGAAATATTTTTCTGCAGACAGCTTATGTCAATGACTATCTCATCTGTTACTTCTTTTTGTTTTTTTAGTTTTAGCTATAGGTTATTAATTTATACCTAACTTCCCTTTTGATTTATAGGTTCAACCTCTAGAGGGTGAAATTCAGGATGCACAACCCTCGAGCCGTTTCAACGCTGTAATTGAGAAGATTGAGCGCTTGTACATGGTAACAATATGTTAATTTGTTTTATTCTTTGTAATTGGAGAGGATTTTGATTTAGCAGCATTATTAAAAGCAATGTCAATCCAGGGCAAGCAAAGCAGTGATGAGGAAGAACTTGATGATATCCCAGATGATGATCAATACGATACTGAGGATTCATTTATTGATGATGCTGAATTGGTTGGTAGTTAAATTTTTTTGTTTTATCATTTTTTGCCATGTCCTTGGTGGTTTTAGTTTTGATATCCCCTGGACTATGTTGCATGGTTACGGGTGTGGGTATCAGCACGGGTACGAGATATGAGAAGTTGTAAAAGGTAGGGTACGAGGACACAATTATATAAATATTTAAATACACAAATATTATACATTGAAATTAATAGTTTGCATGAGATTAAATATTTTTTTATTCATGTGTGATGAGAATTAAATTCCTATAAATTTTTTATGTTTTTTAATTATGTGGATTATAAATTGTAAAAAACGCTCGTTTTTTGAACTAGACACCCAACGACCTTTAAAAACATAGTTTGGAACCCAAGTACCCAACTAATTTCAACAAGCGGAAGTGTGGGATTTACGTCTAGGAAATGCTTGACAAGTGTTCTAAATTATAACATGCATTGTTTAATTGAGTGTATGTCTGAATAAATGTGTGCATGTATGCAAGGAGTGTCCAAGGAGATTGGGTACATGTATTGGGTACATGTATGGTATGTGTCAGGTATGGTTACGCCTTCAAGATAGAATTACCTAGTCCCTTGGACAATTTCAGAATCCAGAAAATTTAGTTATCAAATATCAATTTCAATATAGGATAGTTGCTTAGAAATCAGTAAATTTTGTTTCTATAGAAAAATTTTCATTACTTCTTGCTTATCTGGTGCACCTTTTCCATTTAATTGCCATGCCTATTGAACAAAGTTATTCGCTTCAAATTTTTTTTTTTTTTGGGGGTGGGGGTTGGTTCCTGTGGACACAATTTTGTGAGGCTCCATGAAACCAAAAATGCTAAAAATAGTTTTGGAGCATATAAGGACAACTAAAATTATCGCTAAATAATTTGCCCCAACCTTTATTAACTAAACTATCATAATTTATTCCATGACATCTCTATACTCAATACGTCACATTTAATTCATTATGTAGTTGCTTCTCAACATTGGGTTAGTTGTGCTGCTAACACAGTATTTTGCTAATATTACAGGATGAGTATTTTCAGGTTGACAAATTGTCAACCAAACATAACGGATATTTTGTCAACAGAGGGAAGCTGGAAAGGGTGTAAGTTGTCTTCTAACCTTTCTTAATTTTTTATGAATTCTTTTTGTAGGGAAGTTCAAATATATGCTACATGATTAAGTGGTACCATGGGGTCTTTGTGCAAGTATTTCTCATTTCAAGAATTATAATGTCCAGAAATCTTAGTATAAACTTCAAGAATTATAATTTCCGGAAAACGTGGTGTAAGCTTTTTAATTGGTTTTTTATTACTCATATTTCTTTGTTCTTTATGTTTTTAAAGAAGGGTGATGCCCTACGTGGCCTTTCAAGTATCTATAAAGGGTGAGAATTTTAGTGTTAGCTTGAGTACAAGCAATGTTGTAGTTTTGGAAGTTCCTTTTACTTGTCACTCTGTAACAGATCTGAATGTACTGAAGGCTAGCAATGTGACTATAAAAATGAATAATGAAATTATGAATATCAGGTTCTAGTTAGTAGAAAATAAGCCACTTTAAATTAAGATAATCCTGTCCTGGATACTCAACCCCACCCTCCTCCCTCTTCCTCTCCATCATCATCATCATATAATTAATTGACTCCTTTTCTTCTGATGAATTTTGAATCAATGATTCAATTTTCTTCTTTGGGGATTCTGTCTTTTCCAATCTTTATTGAATTGACAGGGATTAGATAAATACATATGTCATAATATAAATGCTTATTAAGTAGACTCCCACTTGCTTACCATGCTTGCAGCATAACTTGTATCGAAGTCAAATTTTATTAACAATTTCTTTTTAACTGGTTAACCATGATCAGCGATGAGTCCATGATTGTTTAGTTTTTTTGGTTTTTTTTTTTTTTTTTTTGGGGGGGGGGGTGGGGGAGTGTAGGGTCCTGGATGAGCAAATAAAATCAAGTCTGTTATCGGATAAATCATTACTTCTGTTTTACAGTTCCAAAAAATTTGTCATCCATAAAATTGACGTGATAAAGGTTCTAGTATAACTCAACTATCCTAACAAGTTATGAAAACTCCATTCAGAAGCTAATTAGTTAAGAAAAAAATAATTTAAAAGCTAATAAGTTACACAAAATTGATGGTACATAAATTTTAATATTAATTTAAAGCTAATAAGTAATAGGTGAAAAACAGAATCAAATATCGCAAAATCAAAGTACGGGGTTTACAATAGTCACCCCATGTTAACCTTAATCCAGTAAATTGTTCTCACACCCAAATAATAAGAAAACCATGATTTTTCTAATATGCGTGCTCTCTTTTCTCTGAAACAACAGAGATTTTCTACTACTCAAGGATTTTTTAACAAATAAATATCCTCTGATAAAAACTCATGTTTAGTGGGCTCCACTATAATTCTTATAAGAATTCTATCCTCTTCCAACTAAATACGTGAAGGGTATTGGGCCTTTTTTTGTTTGCTGCCCCTTGTGCTTCTTTTGTTAGTGAAAAAAGGACAATTCTTTGGTAATCTTTGCAAAAACATATGCTTCAACTGAAAAAAGGATTTCAGTAGACACTAGTTCTAGTAGTATTGCTATTATTGTTGATTCTATGTTAAGATGACAATTCTATATGAAGATTAAACTCCATTTACGTAAAGAAAACATTGTAAATATTAATGACAAATAACAACATTGTCATTCTACCCCCATGATCCTCCCTTGAATTTTGGAAAGTAAAGTGTTGAAGTTTAGTTTTTTTAAATAAATTTAGTCGTTCTCTAAAAACTTGATCCCAACTTTTCTTTGTAATTTGTGTAGCGGTTTAAACCCGATGATGAAAGGAATTTACTGATTTTAAGAGCTTTAGAGATGTCTCAATTTGCAATTCTTGTCCTATGCTTACAAAGTTCCGTTAGCTGGATATGGATGAGAAATGTCATCTTTTTAGCAGAGAGTTTCAAGTTCAGATAGTTTTTGTAAGTGATCACATCTGAGCATGACAGGTGCTTTTAGTGAATGTATTAGTTTTGGGTAATTTTACATTTACACATACAACAACTACAAACCCTGACAGTTCTTTGTAAGAAAAGTGTATGAACGATTGGTCATATGTGTCCTATGGAATTCATTAACTATTGCTCATTTTGTTATTTCCTCTCTAATTTTCTTGAGAGCATATGACATGGGAGGAGAGACGGTATTAATTGTGGTTCATATGACACATTGCTAGAATTCTATTAGCACACAAATATTTTGGGCATATCTCTTGTAATGTTAAGTGGCATCACCTGTTTTCTCTTTGATAGAAAATTTTCATCTGAATATCTGATTTCTATTAATGCCATCTGTCTCTACATGCCTTCGTAATGTATTATTTCGTTTTTTTCGTAATTTATCATATTTGAATATTACTCTTTTTATTGTTATTTTTATGAAGATTGACATACAAAAAGTTGTCAACTAGCTATCATACGTTTATCCATCAGCTTTTATGCTTTTGGTACTGAATTTTTCATCTATTCATGAGAAACATTTGCCACTTCTACCCATCAAAACTTGTCAACTGGCTATACTTCGTAGAAAAAGGAGTAAAAGAATATTGGACTAGTTATAATATATTTTTTTATGCTTTTGCTCACTCCAGAGAACCTAGTTCATCACCTAATCTGGCGCCAAAGAATAGAAAACGAAAAGATTCAATAAAAGTCAATGCTGAAACTTGCCGTGAACATGTTACAAGTGATGCAATGGTTAAGGGCAATGTACGGATGAAAGCTGCAGCAAGAAGTGCACCTTTGATGGAAAAGAAATTAGCAAGTCCCGATGAAATGCAGACTGCCTATGAAGAATATTATCAAGAAAGGAAGGTTTTGAAAAATAAATCAAATTCTTTTACAGGGAGCTATAAAAGAAGGTCTGCGGATTCTATGACCAATTTAAAAAATACTTCACCTGTCAGAATATCAAAAGATGTTTCATCGCTATCATCTGAATGGAAGGATCTTGACAAGCACAAGGCAGGGGTTCTATTGTCTCGGGACCTTTCACACAAATCAAGACTAATAAATGAATCAGTTGAAAGTGCATATCACTCGTCTCGGGATAGAGCTGTTTCTTCTCAAGCTGAATCACAATCCAGGAAGTCCATAAATTGTGAAAATGAAGCCGAAGTATCTACCAAAATACGTAGGAAGGAAAGATACAGAACTGATGTATTTCCTATTACAGATTCTGCTGTGGGTGCATATCCTATGCAAGCAGCTGTGAGTTATTCTTGTAAATTTAGAAAATCAGGAATTCTCTTATGGAGATTTTCTTAAATCAAACTTTCAGTCTGTTTTCTCTTTCATTTGCTTTCATTTTCTTTCAATTTTATATCTGATATTTTATTTCTTGATATGATAAGGCATACTATTTCTGCATAATATTAGTCTCAATTATTTATATTCGAAATATCTGCTTTTATTGTCTTATTTCTTGATATTTATATTAGTTTCAATTTTTTTCCTGATATTATATTTCTTGATATAATAAGGCATGCTTCTCTCCTTAAAGTTAGCCATATACTAGTTCTTTTCCTGTAATTCTTAATACAAATGTCTAATACCATTGAGCTATGCTGTGTAGTCAAGCTCTCTCGATATCATTTTACAATTTTTGCATGTCAATCTATCTACAATTCTAGTAAGAAATAAACATGTTTAGCTATTGTTTAACCCACGAAATGGTCATCTCTCTTTTCAAAATATGCATTTGCTATTATAAAATCATATGATAATGCAAAATTCAAACTCACACCTTCCATACCAATTCTTTTCTTCATATCATGTATCCTTACATATCCCTTTCACTGATATCTAGTATACATAATTTGTCTCCATTAAGAATTCCATCTACTGTTGCATCCAATGTTACCAAAATTCCATTTTAACATTTTCAGGCAAACCTATATGTGTGGCATAAGCACTAACTATATTATTTAACTCTAGACCTTATAAAATATTTATTAGCTTTATTCTATCTCCAACTCTTTTAACATCTACAACATGTTCTTTTAATGTGTTATTTATTCCCACCTCATGACTATCTATTGCCTTTTCTATATACCAAAATTTATACCAATTTTACATCTAGTATTCTTAATCCTCTAGACTTATCACCAGTCCATTTTTTTCCTTATAGACAAATTATATTAATCTTTCTTCTTATCAAGATATCTACCCCTTCCATCATCTAATGCATTTTCTCCGATGATCACTGAAATGAAATAGATCATCTTTTTCTTGTTCTAATTAAATACTTTCGATCCTTAGGAATTCAAATTAATCATCAAGATTCAAGATTTTAGGGAACTACATGCTACATGGCTCTTTCGCTCCAGGTGCCTCATAGTTGATGCATTTCTCTTGAGAAAACCTTTCATCTTTGATCTTTCGTCTTCGACAAATTCTTTCATATGGAGAGTTTTTTTTGCAATTACTCTTTGGTTTCATGTTCTTAATTGATAAGGTCCTTAATGTAGGTCTCTTCACCTGCCAATTTGGCCTCTTAGGGTTTATGATACACCCCTTTGTGCTGATAGTTTCTTTGGTGGGGACCTTGCACCTAGTAAAGGGTTGTTTCCAAATTTATGGCACTAAAATTTGTCCAATCTTCCATCCTACTTTGTGCTCCATACTCAAATTTGTTATGTGTTGCTCATCCTTTGGCAAATTCTTTGGTGCCGTATGCAACTTACAAGACTCCTTACAACTAAAGCATCACATGTTACATGTTTTTAGTGCATTTTGCCAACTCTGGCAGGGTTGTTATTCAAATTATGATAAATATTTTCTTCCCTAAACAATGAGCAATGTCACAGGTGTCTCTGGTAGAATTCGTTTGGTATATTAAGTGCAATCTTATCCCTTTTTATGTTAAATAATGCTAAAAGTATTAAATATCAATATATCTGAGATGGCGTAAATTCAAGTGGCTGTTTCGTATTACTTATCTAGCTACTGGCTTGCTATAGTAGTTTCCTAAATGCATGACACTATTACATGTACATCATGAACTGTTCCGTCACATTACTTTTTTTATATTTTACAGCTACCTTCATCTAGGCGGGTGAAGGACGGTTCTGCTCTACGACCTAAAGGCACTACGCTAGAGAGGGCCATTCGTGACCTGGAAAAGATAGTTGCATTATGTAAGTTCTCTGAGGATTGTTAAGTGCTGTACTTAATAGGCAGGATTTTACGTTCTGTTGATAGCTCGATTAATTGAAAACTTTGTTTTCAGACAGACCACCAAAGCTCGATATCCAAGAAGCTGATAACTCATCCCAACTAGTGAAAAGGAGGTTGCCTCAAGAAGTAAAGCAGAAGCTTGCTAAAGTTGCTAGGTTATCGGTAAAAATGCTAAATACCTCATCTTTTATATAATGCGTGAGCTAGTATTCTTCAACCTTGTTCATATTTTCATCTATTTAAAACTTCGTGTTCTTGCAATATGCTCATGATTGTTTGGTCTGTACCTTAACTTCTTTAAATTAATAAGTTTAACTTCACTTGATGGTTTCCATGTCTGTATGAACTCCTCACTACAAAGCTGAAGCTTTTGATAACCGAGTCTGGTTGCTGTTTCTTAGCTTTCAGATTAGACTTAAGTAATGCACTTATATTGAAAGACAACATTAGTTGGAACTTTTCAAACAGTGAGATTACCTTTGAATACTGGTTCAACATTTTACCTTTAAATACTGGTTCAACATTCCGTCAGTTACAATGCTGCTATAGGACTCTTTCGTTGTTCTTTAGTTCAATGTACATTTTTCTTCATTTTTACATTTGGTGATACTTCTGTCTGAGACTTAGAATGCTAAGTAGTTTTACAATGTTTTGGTAGATGGTATTTATTTGATGTATTCTATACTGAAATCAAATTAACTTTCTATATTTTGATCCTATATACGTATGTGTGTCTATATGTATAATACTATAGCGATAGTAAATGATGCCTATCGTGTCTCACCATGGTGTTGTTTGTTGTGTTACTGACATGGTACACATCCAAATGACCTACAGTTCAATTACAATGCTATTATACCTTCATCTCTCTCTCTCTCTCTCTCTCTCTCTCTCTCTATGTGTGTGTGTGTGTGTAAAGACCTATTTGCTGGTTACGGTGTTGCTATACCTCTTTCATTTTATTCATTGCACATTTTTCCTCATTATTTTTTTATATATAGTAATCTTTCTGTCTTAGAGTTGGACACACTAACTTGGAAACAACCTCTCCAAATGTGGGGGAAAGACTGCGCACATCTGACCCTCCGTACAATGGTGGGAGCCTTGTGAACTGGGTTGTCCTTTACTTGGAACCAATAAATAGTCTTACTATGTGATGTTAGATAATATTTTTTGATTTGTTGGTATATTAAAGTCAAATTTTCCCTGAATAACTTTCTATTTTCATCTTATATGCGCATGTGCGTGTCTATACTCATAATGTTAAGAAAGATAAGAAAGTTTTGGTCCTCGCTGTCTCTACTGAAGAAGGAAACAAAAAAGCATTTGAATCATCTTTTGCAATTCATGCCCCAAGGTTATGATTCAGTTAATGAATTTGGATGTTAATAGATTATTGGAAAGTTTTTTAAATAGATTTTCTTGTTTGATCAGACCTGCTCAAATCCTACTACCCTGAAACGGGTTGGGTTCATTTCCAGTTTGCTTTATTCTTATGCTAGTTTCTCGCATATGATCCTTAATATTTCTTGCATCTCATTGGCTGTGCTCATTTCTTGTCCAATCCTATTACTTTAGAGAAGATGTAACAGAGAGGAGATTTTGCTTATGTTTTATACATATTTTAAATTGCAAGCTATGTGAAAGCCTTAACAATACTTTTCAGGATTAAAAAAGTCTAGGTGCATATAAATATCCCTTTTATTGTTCTTTTTCTACTTGTATCATTCTCTTATATGTGTTTTTGCATCATGATTTTTATCTTAATATTGCTTTATTCAGCTTTGAATTTTACTAATGACTGAACCCAAAACTTGAAACTTGAACCCAAATCTGCTTAAGACTGACACTCCTTGATATAGCTTGAACCAAGACTGAAGGTGTTATGTGCATTTTAGAAACTCTAAAATGGTCCAGATGTTATTTGTACTCCAACTGACCAACATAGTTCTTTCCTTTTTCTCTTTTCCCCTCTATGTCATATCTGACACCATATTAGTTAGAATCCTGAGTTAGAGTTGAACTTTCTTTCTGATAGTTGAATAGTATTTCTGATAAAGACTTGTGTGAGAAATAGGAAGGCAACTTTAGACCATAAAGTAGTTATAGTAACTGCTATAAGCTATAAGCTCAAGGTGAAAGGAGTCAGTTGCATCATGGTGTTTAAGGGACTATAGGGGACACATGAGATGGGGTTAGGGGGCACTCGTACAAAGGTGATGTTTGTTTTTGTTAGAAGAGAGTATGAGTATTAGTTTAGCATTAGTTTAGTCCCACATTGCCTGTGAGACTAATTTGTAACTAATCCATCTCTATAAATAATAAAATATAGAGTGAGGAAAAACTCTCCCAAGAAACTCTTCTCTAAATCTTAACATGTTATCAGAACCTATCCCTTAGCCCTAATACTAATCCAAACTCCTAAGCCTAACCCTAACCCTAACCCTAGGCAGACGTCTTTTTCCAAACCCTATCCGTCAAAACCCTAGCCGCCTTATCGTCCTCATCTTTCTCGTCCTCGCCATCGTCATCGCCCTCATCTTCCTCGACAACTCCTCGTCCTCGTCGATCCGATCCACGTCCACGTCCACGTCCTCGTACTCGAGCTTCTCTCACCCGACGCGACAACTCCTACCCGACGCCGCTCGTCGTTGATGATCGCCGCCACCATGAGGCCTTCGCTTGCCACTGCCATGCTCGCTGCTCGCCGCTCTATTTGTTTTTGGATCTGAATTAGATCTGCGAGTTGTCCTGTAAAAAAAGAAAAAACACTTTCGGGTTCCATCTTAACCTTCGGGTTCTTGATCTTTAACCTTCGGGTTTCATGTTAACCTTCGGTTTCTTGCACTTTAACCTTCGGGTTCAAAATTAAACCTTTAGGTTTTTGGACTTGTTCAGCCTACTGGCTAATTCAAGACTTATTTTCTTGAACTTGGACATACTTTGACTGTTTTCATTTTGGAGTACAACTTATGGAGGGTATTGTCTTGAATTCTACTCGTCTGTTTCATGATGGTCGGATTTGAGGAACTCAAGAATTTTGAGTTAACGGTCCAGATGAAAGTTTTGGAGATATTTTCTGATAGAATCACTGACCGGAAACTTGATGAAATTAACTATTTGCAGTGAAAGCGTGTTATTAAAATCTATGTGGCAGGCCGAGGCAAAACTAGCCATTTGTTGACAGACCCTCCCACTCCGACACCGGAATCGTGTCCTCTTACATCAACTTCTTAATACTATGCAGCCTAAAATTCATGATTTAGTTCCTCATTGTATGACAGTGAAGGAACTTTGGTGTTTTTTGCAAGATCTCTATGGGGATAGCAGCAATATTAATCGGACATATGAAGTAATTCAAGAGCTGTTCCATAAAAAAATAGGATGATAAACCTATGGATGATCATTATGGTGAGTTCAATCGTTTGATTGAGGAATTTCGTCAAATTTTTCCTATTACTCGGGATGTAAAACAAATACAGAACCAATGGAATAAACTTATAGTACTCACCTACTTGGGCATCTTAGATTCTATTTACTACTTTGCTCGATCACAAATCATGGGGAGTTCCGTCATTAGTTCTCTGGCTGAGATTTATCACTTTCTGAAGAATGTTGTTCTTACGCAGCCACTCACATCCACTGCGGATCGCTCTGCGCTTGCCACTCAGGGTTAGCAGTCTTATGGACGAGGAAGCTATACTGGTGGTCTTAGAAGAGGTAGATGAAACTTTGAAGGGATAGGAGGTTACTACACTGGTCGTTCTTGAGGCCGAGGTGATCAATGAGGTGGCCGTAGAGGTCCATCTCAAGGCAGACATGCTCATGGCGACGACTCAGTGAAGATTTGTAACTACTGTCACCATCCAGGACATCTCAAATATAATTATCTTGAATTAGAAAAAAAGGCCAATGGTGCTTACATGACTGCTCAGGACAACCTTACTTCATTTGATAGTAAAATTCAACCATAGTCACTCTTCCATGATGCGGAGCTGCAGCGTCAATTTCAGTAATTTTAATTATTTCAGCAGTACCAAAATTCACAAACATCGTCTTCCTCTTTATCCGCTACTCTCAAAAGTGCAGGTGGCCCTTTATCTTTACTTACATCGTCTTCGTCTTATACTTGGATTATAGATATACGTGTCACTGATCATATGACTGGGAATCAAGGTATCCTGTCCTCTTTCTCTTACATCTAATTCAGTTATATTAGCTGATGGTTCACGTACACCTGTTCAGGGTGTCGGCAACACCAATCCTATCCCGAGTCTTCCCCTTTCCTCCGTATTCTATCTTCCTAGTTTTCCTTATAACCTTTTATCTGTTAGTAAGATTACTAAATTACTCAACTGTACTGTGACATTCTTCCTCACACATTGTGTCTTTTAGGACCTGGTCACGAGGAAAACGATTGGGACGGGACATGAGCAGAACGACTATTATAAACTGGACTTGGACGTCAAACATTTAGCTTGTATTGGAAACTCATCAGCTCTACAATACCACTGTCAGCTAGGGCATCCCTCTCTGTTCTCATGCTTCTAAATCCTTAGTTCAAATCTCTTTCCTCATTAGAGTGTGAGTTGTGTTAACTTAGCAAACATCATCGTGTCTTATCCTAATCGAGTCAACAAGAGGGCTGCTAATCCATTTGATATTGTTCATTCTGATGTCTGGGGATCATGCCTAATAACTTCTAAATTGGGATTTCGATACTTTGTCAGTTTTTTGGATGATCACTCTCATGTTACTTGGATTTTTCTTCTCAAATCTAGATCTGAAGTCTTTTATACTTCTAAACTCTCTTGTTTTAAAAAAGTCAATCAATTCAAGACTTCGATAAAAATTTCTCGATCTGATAATGCAAATGAATATTTGGATGATAACTTCACTAGTTTCCTTGAACAACATGGAATCCTTCATCAGTCTTTTTGTGTTTACATTCCTCAGCAAAATGGAGTTGTTGAACCAAAGAATAGGCATCTCCTTGATATTGCTCGGACCTTGCTACTCCATCGCCGTGTTCCTTAAGATTTTTAGGGGGAAGCTATCTTAACAATATGTTATTTGATTAATTGAATGCCCTCTTCTGTTCTACAAGATAATTTTTTTCAAAGTTCTGTACTCCAACAATGATCTCTTTCAGCTTCCTCTAAAGATTTTTGGCTCTCCGTGCTTTGTTTATAATCACAATCCAAACAAAAGTTTGACTCTTGGTCTATTAAAGGCATTTTTCTTGGCTACTCCTGAAAACATAAATGTTATAAGTGTTTCTGTCCATCATTCAATCATCTTATGTTATCTACTGATGTAACGTTCTTTAAAGATAAACCCGATCATTCTAGTTCTCCATCTCCATTATCATTGGATGAGTATGACTATTTAATCCTGTAAGAGTCATTGGTTAACGGTGGTGATTCATCCGTCGATAATACTATTTGCGCTACTGGCAAAGATTCAGCTAGGTTTAACGACCCGATTCAAGTTTATCATCGTCGCTCTGCTCCTGCTCCTGTGCCAACGTCGGCCTCAACACCACGTTCTCCGTCCGAAGAACCTGAACTAATAAGTACAAATTTACCCCTTTCTACGGAAGACTTTATTGCACTTCGAAAAGGGTCACGAACTTGTATTCAACATCCTATTTCTAACTGTCTCCTATGATTGCCTATCCTCTACCTTTCGATCTTTTATTACTCCCCTTGACTCATATTTGGTTCTCAAGAATGTGTCAGAAGTCCTGTCTATTCCAGGTTGGAACCAAGCGAAGCAGGACGAAATGAGGGCTTTGCAACAGAATAAGACTTGGGATTTGGTTCCACTTCCATCAGGAAAGCGGCCCGTCGGCTGCAAGTGGGTGTACACTGCCAAGTTGAATCCTGATGGAACTTTGGCACGCCTGAAAGCCCGACTGGTTACTAAAGGCTATTCACAGGTGTATGACTTGGAGTACGTAGATACTTTCTCTCCGGTGATAAAAATAACATCTGTTCGGATTTTTGTTTCGTTAGCAGCGACAAACCATTGGCCACTTAATCAGTTAGACATCAAGAATGCATTCCTTAATGGTATTTTAGATGAGATGGTTTACATGGAGCAACCACCAAATTTTGTTGGTTAGGGGGAGAATGTGAAGGTGTGTAGGCTGAAGAAATCACTCTATGATTGAAGCAGTCTTCGAGAGCCTGATTTGGACGTTTTACATCGGTTATTCAAGAATTTGGGTTTTGTCATGCACAAAAAGATCACTCTGTCTTTTGGCGATTTCAGAATGAAAAACGAATTCTGCTAGTTGTCTATTTGGATGACATTGTAATTATAGAGGATCATGTTTCTGTTATTAACAGCCCGTAGAAGTATTTACAGACACATTTCCAAATCAAAGATCTTGGTTCCCTAAAATACTTCCTAGACATTAAAGTTGCAAAGTCAACGAATGATATTCTTCTATCACAAAGGAAGTATGTTCTAGACATGCTCTCAGAAGCCGGGATGTGAAGATGCAGAAACAGTGATTCTCCAATGGATGTGAACTCAAAATTACTACCAGACCAGGGAAGCTTCTTGAGGATGTTGGGCAGTATAGGAGACTGGTAGGGAAACTAAATTATCTGACGGTGACCAGACCTGACATTACATTCACAGTCAGTGTTGTGAGTCAGTTCTTGTCCGCATGAAGAACTACTCACTTGGGTGCAGTAATGAGAATTTTGAGGTACTTGAAAAAGGTTCCAGGACGAGGAATTCTCTACTCAGATCAAGGACATCAGAATTGCAGGCTTTTCAATGCAGATTGGGCTGGATGTCTTTTTGATAGGAGATCGACTACTGGATATTGTATCTTTCTTGGAGGAAATCTGGTGTCATGAAAGAGTAAGAAGCAAAGTGTTGTGTCTCGATCCAGTGCAGAATCAGAATACAGAGTTATGACAAATGTGACACTAGAAATAGTTTGGATTAGAGATCTATTGACAGAGATTGGTCTCACTTCAGAATGTCCAATGAGTCTATATGGCGATAATGAAGTAGCAATTCACATTGCTGAGAATCCCGTGTTTCATGAGAGAACCAAGCACATTGAAGTCGACTGTCATGTAATCCACAAGAAGCTCGAGGACAAAATCATCACGGCAAAACATGTATCGACGGTACATCAGTTGACAGACATTCTTACAAAACCACTTGGTCGAACACGGGTTGACTTTATTTGTGACAAGTTGGGCATGCATGATATATATGCTCTAGCTTGAGGGGGGAGTGTTAGAAGAGAGTAACTAATCCATCTCTATAAATAATAAAGTATAGAGTGAGGGAAAACTCCCAAGAAACTCTTTTCTTTCCAAATCTTAACAGTTTGCAGCTAAGATGGTCCTTGCCACTATCCATTCTTATATATGTTCTTATGCTCTTTTTCAGCTAGTCTATGTTATCATGTCATTATTATTTAATTGTGTTAATAGTTTTAGTCTTAAATGTTATTTTGATATATATCAGTTCTGGATTATTTGTTTATAAATGTGCTGCCAGCAATAATAATCTTTATCAATGCCATGGTCATTAACCTAAACAAATAGGGGCACCCATGAAAAAAATTTAAGAATCAGTTTCATTCTTCTTGGTATGACACATTTATTCATCATTTAATCTCTACATTTTTTCAATTTGTATCATTTGACAGCTAGAATATAGATCTCTTACTGATGCAGGCAAGCCAAAATAAGATTTCGGAAGATGTCTTAATTGATCGGCTTATGGGTATTGTTGGACATATAGTACAGCGCACTACATTGAAGGTAATCACCATGAAAAATCTATTGTATTATATTGCTTCAATAGATTCCAAAGCTTCTGTTTGATTATTTTATCTTGTCTAGTCACGATGGTGCTTAACCCTTGTACAAATTTGTAATTACATCAAGTTAGTAGTGGGCCTGAGTGGTTTACTGCTAGTTTTAAATGTTCTTGCTCACAATAGAAGTGTACTGTTAGAAAATTGCAATTTAATGGCTCATTCCTAACATTGATGTCCTCTTTTCACATACTCAATGTAATTATTTCTAATCCATGATTTTAGAACGATCTTTATTTCTGTACATTCACTTTTTTTACTTTCCTTTTATATTTCAAAATTTTGCAGCTTTGCGTTTCTTATAACTGAATGATCTGTCATTTTTTCTACCATAGGGTTTACCTGATAGCTTTAAGCCCCTTCAATATTAGAATGTTCGTTATAGAGGCCAGCACAAAGAGGATTGGATATCATAATGCCATTATATGGGGAAAGGATGCATAATTTTGTATGCTGTCACTGTTGAGCAACAACAACGGGAGTTTAATCCCAAAATTTTTGGCCCTACACATGTTATTTTTCCATTCAGTTCTGTCAGGGGTTATTCTTTTTCTTTCGTTCAGTCATGTTAAGGATTTTCTTCAATTAAATTAGTCACTATTGTAACCTTAATTGACTAAATCTAGATTCTCTTTGGTCTATCTCTAACAATGTTCAAAATAATGATAATGCATGCCATAACCCTCACCTCAGGATAATGTACTATGCAATATAAACACATAAATTACATGATCTGTTATACAAAGTTTGTATTCCATATGATATGTAGAAAAACTACATCCAAGACAATTATATAGCAAAATAGCAAAATAATAATCTTAAGAGAAAATAAAATAAGGTACTACATTAAACCTAATCAACTCATGAAAAAACTGTGAAGGACTTTGTATAATGAAGTATGTAATTATGGTACCAGATGTAGATGAATGAAAATGATTGGAATTATAAACCTTACATTTGAGAAACAACCACAATGAAATTAATGGCAAAAAAGAAAAGAAAAGAAAAGGTACCTGCGATGCGAGGCTTTAAGTATTGGATGCCGGGTTCATGTCAAACGGCTAAAATTCATTCGGAAAGCAGAAATTGAGGATATGTCGAGGGATATATATTAGATATCGGACTGTCATATCAGATGGTGTTCATATGTGCAATATAATGTCCTAAATGCAATCTAAATATACTTAATAAATTCAACAATTTAAACATATAAAAAAGTAAATAACATATGATGTTTAGGGTCACTTAACCGATTGTAGAAATTGAAATAGAGGAATTGAGAGAGAGAGAGAGAGAAGACAAAAAGAGAGAGAATGAGAGGAGATAGAAAGAGTGAGATAGAGAGAACAAGAGAGAAAGAGAGAAGACAGGGAAAGAAGATAGAAAGAGAAAGACCGAGAGAGAAAATAATACTCTTTTTGGTGATTTCTCAGTCAAGATTGGAGCTTCGATGGTGGCGATTTAGAGAGTGATGACGAAGGAATGCGAAAGAGAAGAGGAGCGTAGTGGTTTTTGCCCTAATTTGTGGTGCTATCGGGTTGCAATTGGAACGAAGGCTACAAAATGGTCAATAGGGTTTGAGTTTTCGGTACTAACCTCAAAAACACGAAAAGTTACAAACTTAAAACAATTAAAAATGATGTATCGGTCGATTTTTCAAAGCTAAAACCGGCCGATGCGTTCGTAATCTCCCCAGACATGTCCAATAGGGACCTCAAAAGCGCAATGCGCTTTCAAAAGACCAAATGTGTGTCATCCATCTCCTAAATCTGACATTTCAGCTGTCATGTCCGTCATAACGATTGACATTTAAAGCCTTGCTGTAATAAACAAATTATGGCAAGAAAAAAAGCAAATGAAGATTCTGCCTGGTATATTGAGGGGTTTGGAGAACAATAATTATCAGTTTCATCTTAAATGTAAGAAGTTGGCTATCACACATCTGTCCTTTGCTGATGATTTGATATTGTTTGGTAAAGAGGACTTTCAGCCTGTTGTGCACGTTAATTCATGTTTAGATCAGTTTTCAAAAGTTATTGGTTTACAAACCAATTTTTCTGAAAGTGTAGTCTTCTTTGGTGGTGTGGGTGGTGTTAAAGGAAGGATTCTGGAGGTCTTGGGCTTTCAGCAAAAATCATTTCCATATGAGATACATTGGAGTACTATTAGTATAATCGATAATCAAGATTGTCCAGTAAAGAATGTTAGTTTTTCATACGAAGGATGCCTGCCATAATTCCTCTTGGACTTATAGATTTCTTTCTTATGTGGGTAGATTGCGGCTCATCCAATTAGTGTTTAACATTTAGATGTATTGCTCTCAGTTTTTTTTCTACCTAAGAGTGTTTACATGATGTCGATGTTTAGGACCTTTTTGTGGACAAGAAATATTGCTAATAGGTACAAAGCTTTCGTTGCTTGGAATCAAGTGCGTAAGAGTGAAATATAAGGGGGATTGACAATTAGGAGCTTGGTGGAGTGGAATTTGGCTACTCTCTAGGGATAACCTGCCAAAATAACCACCTAGATGTTGAAGCTGACTAAAGATCAGCAACATAAGGCCAACCCACTTTTCAAACCACTCGTTATCGTAATTGGTGCATTTTGTGTTATCTGGATTCAGAGGAAATGTCAGCTCTTTCTCTCGACAAACACGCACTGGAGAAGAACCCTTTCATACTGTGATCGATTTGAAGCATAGTACTGTAAGGGCCTAATTCATGGGTGAGTGCGAGGAATTCTCCTTCGCTTTCTTATCTGCTTCTGGGACAACAACCCGCGTGTGGAGCTCGCTTTTTCCGTTTGCCAGACCCTTTGTCGGGTTTTTTGGACGCTAGACATCGAACTGGTCGTCTTCGTTCTTTCACTCTTGAGGATGCGCTCTACCTTATTTACGGGACTTTTGTTTTGCTTTGCTCTTCTCTTTGTGAACATGTATGAAATATTGCTCTAAAGAATGATAGTCTTTAGATGAAACGTGTGCATGTCTTTAATATGAAAACTCTGATTTTTGGAGTGGTCAAGGGAAAGTTGGAGGGTCTTGGGTTTGAAATACATTGCTATATATTAGAGACAAGTTTAGAGAAGCTTTTGTTGTCGAGAATCAGGTGTACAAATGGAGATATACACATTTAGGGATTTTTTCTATTTACAGTGCTAATGAATTCATCACTTGAGCATAGTGAGGAGGTGGTTGGTTTCCTACAGTATGGGGAAGTGTATGGGGGGTGGGGGGCTTCCTAGCAATTCTTTTATTGCTTGGTTAATAATATTAAGTAGAACTAGAGCAAAAAATTGGATGTGTATATGTGTTCTTTGCAATAATGATGGGGAAAGCAGGGATAATTTGTTCTTTCAATGTGCATATTCTTAGGAGGTTCATAAGGACTGTAATTAGAGGTTGGCTTCAGTTCTTGGAATGATTTGAAAATCTGATTAAAGGAAAGAGGATGATCAACTGCTGAAGGAAGAGATTATTGTAAGCTACCATATATAGAATATGGCAGGAGAGAAACTCTAGGTTGTATAAGTTTGAACTCTAAATCTCTCCCTCCTAACTGGGTTGTTACACAAATGTATAGCAAATATGAAGTGACAATTGAGTAAAAAAGTGTATAGGAGATTATCACATAGGAATTTTTTTGTAAAGATTAGTTGTTGATGCTTGCAGCTTGTAAATATCTAAAGTGAGCTGTTGAACTTTGGAATGCATGGATATAATTATACAATTTGTTGAGCAATGAAAATTTACTCATCTTTACTTAAGGAACAAAGATCTCACTAAGAGATCGAGATTAATGTAGAGAGAGTGATTGAAGAGGGTGAACGCTTCCAAGCTACATAAAACAAATTTCTGGACGTCAACACTAAAGATTATTACCAACTGCTCGTTTTTGTTTCACTTTAATTGTTATTTGAACATAGAGAGAACATGCTCATTGTTGTCAGAAATCGATTACCATTACAAAAGATTGACAATCATCATCGAGAATTGGTTAATATTTTTCAAGAATTGGCTAATTATCAGGAAGTTGGTTTGCTTCGTTAAATAGGTTAGAGTTGTGATTTTTTAAGGGTGGTTAGCGGGATATCACCCACATCATCAAATCTAAAGGGGGTTTGTATATATGAAAATCGCCAGGGTTATAGAAAGCACTAGGCGTTAGGTCTCAGGAAGTTGGTTTGCTTCGTTAAATAGGTTAGAGTTGTGATTTTTTTAAGGGTGGTTGGCGGGATATCACCAACATCATCAAATCTAAAGGGGGTTTGTATATATGAAAATCATCAAGGTTACAGAAAGCGCTAGGCGTTGGACCTAACACCTAGATCCTAGGCAGCTACGAGTTTTCTTTTTTTATTTTTTAATTAGAACTAATATTATAGAAAGCGCTAGGCGTTGGACCTAACGCCTAGACCCTAGGCAGCTACGAGTTTTCTTTTTTTATTTTTTAATTAGAACTAATATTATAGATCGCTAGATGCCGAATTGACGCCTAGTGCCTAGGCGAGCCCTAGGAGGATGAGTTGGAGTTGTTCGTAGTCGGTGGAGGAGGCTTGCTGAAGTTCATTGGAGATTAGAGGATGCAGAGGTAGCAGCGGAGGAAATTACGACTAAGACTTAAGCGGTCCACGCTCTCCTAGGTGCTTCCAAGGGATAGGCGATGACTTATGTACCGCCTAGGCTTAGGCAAGCTAAGCGCTCGTTTTTTAAAACATTGAAAAGCACACTCTACAAAACGCTATTTGTAACATATGTTTCCTAGAAATGCAATATTATGCGAACATTGAGTTTTTTCCTTGTGTTTCTGAACATGTGGCTCTTGTTGTGTCGTATCACATGAAAAAGGATTATGAAGCACATGTTTTTTTAGCAATGATCCTTAGTCATCTCGCTTGTGACGGAAGCAGTTAGTGTTCTCATTTATTCATGATTAAACCACCACA